AATATAATGAAATTGCACTTGTCTTTATTGATTTTAAGACCATTCTGTGTACACCAATGAGTGAAACTGTCCACATCAGACTGTAAATCACTGCAATTTGTCTTACAAATGAATTTTGAGTCATCAGCGAAAAGAAAACAGTTTGAATGATTAAATATATCAGGAAGATCGTTAATAAACAATATGAAAAGCAGAGGACCCAGTACGCTCCCTTGAGGTACACCACTAGTAACTGGTAAAGTGGTGGAAATGCTTGTTTGAACTTTAACACATTGAAAACGGTTTGAAAGATAAGAAATCAAAAGAGCGGTAAAAATATCGTCAAAACCAAAAGCAGCAAACTTCTGTACAAGAATGTCGTGCCTGACAAAATCGAAAGCTTTGCTAAAATCGAAATACATGGCAGCGCAAGGAATTTTGGCATCGTGAGTGTGATATACTTCATCTAGATATGAGAGCATTTGCGTTATGGTGGAAGGCTTCTTGCGGAATCCATGCTGAGCATTCGAAATTTTGTATCGGACTCGAGGGTAAATATGATTGAACAAAATACGCTCGAAGATGAGTGAAAGAGGAGGAAGTATGCTAACTGGCCGATAATTAGTAATATCATAAGGAGAACCAGATTTGAAAACAGAAGTGATGAGTGCAGTTTTCCAGGAATCGGGCCAAACACAAGATTGTATAATGGATAACAAAAGGAAAGAAACAAGCGGAGAAAGAATGCTGTGACAGGATTTATAAATTAATGCAGGTATATTATCTGTAGAACAAGTCTCTTTGCATTTAGCTAGGAGCTCGCCAACAATACTGGGGGAGACATCAACTTCTGAAAGTTTGATTTCCGAATCAGCCAAACTACCACCAGCAGAAGGACTATTTTCAGATACTTGATAAACAGAAGCGAAATATTGATTGACAGTCTCACTAATTAAAACATTGCTCTCGACCTGATTGCGTCCCCAAAAAAGTTTAGTAGGGACAAGTTGAGTTGATTTAAATTGGTCCAGAAACATGAAAGCATGCTTGGAAGAATTTGGCGAAAAACGTTGAATCAGCAGAATTTTATCGAGTTTAACTGAGTTTGAGAAATCATTCTCTAATTGAGACAGATATTGGCGATTAAAACCATTCAAATTGTTCAGAGTTCTCAGTTTATTAGCAATATGAATAGTAGTAGTAGTAGTAGTAGTAGTAAAAGACTTTAATTCCATTGGTGGATACAGGGTTAATATAAATATTGAATGAACTTACGATCGACAATTTTTACAAAAACATTTGACAAAGAATGTGCATGATCTGTTTATATCAAACAAAGTTGAAGTTTTAAGCAGTAAAAATTTATTCAGTTTTGATTTGAACATTCCCAGGGGCATGTCGAAAGATATAATTTTCAGACGCAGAAGTTCATTGGCAGCACGGGGAGCTCGTACAAAGAAGTTATCGTCAGTTTTCAATTTCCTCGTGTTCGGTATGACGAATAGGCCACTCGTAGCGGAACGCGTAGGAAGCGAGCTGGTTGCACTTTTGCAGTCAACATCAATAACATTGTTATGGAGCTTCCAAAGTAGAAGAATTTCAACTCTAATCAATACATAGCTAATTGGAAGCATATTCAGATTTAGTAGCCCTGAAACATACGATGAACATTTCTTGATCCATCTTAGAACTTTGTACTGGAACAGTTCAAGCTGATGTAATAGTGTCAAAGAAGGGCACCATGCAGGAGCACCGTAAAGTAAGATTGACAGAATGAGAGTATTGTAAAGTAACTTTTTTCGACTGCAGGATACCGAGAAAGGAATATTTCGTTTCAGAAAATAAAACAATCTGGAACATTTTGTCAACTTAGTATTCAGATGGGATTTCCAGGAAAGATTGTTGGAGACTATGATACCAAGATCTTTAATTTCATCAACAAATGGTAAGATGTCTGATCCGAGCAAGAATTGGATAGAATCATCATAACCACCAAAGTTCAGAACTTTACATTTGGCAGAATGAAACTGTAAGTGATTGTTAGTTGACCAATTAAAAAGAGAATCGATATCTTTTTGAACTAATGATGGAGCAGATGAGCTATTAATCTTCAGGTCGTCTGCAAATAGATAAAATTCACTATTTAACACATCATCGGTCATATCATTTATAAATAAAATAAACAGAAGTGGGCCGAGAACACTCCCCTGAGGAACGCCCGAGGTAACTGGCAGAGGAGACGAAATTGATTGATTTATTAGCACACACTGATACCGGTTTGTCAGATAAGATTCAAACAACTGGAGAAATTCAAAATCAAAGCCGAGTATAACAAGTTTAGCAAGTAACAAATGATGCGGTACTGAATCAAAAGCTTTTCTCACATCAAAGTAAATGGCTAGTCCAGGAGAATTTTTATCGCAGGAAGAATAAATTGAGTCGAGATAGATGATCAATTGGCTGATAGTACTGCGCGACTTCATGAAACCATGTTGCTGACGTTTGATTAGATGTCTAACTTTTGGATAAGTAAAGTTGAAAAGAATTCTTTCCAGGATAAGGGAAATTCGTGGTAAAATACTAATTGGTCTGTAGTTAGTAATGTCATTGCGAGCATCAGATTTGTATAAAGGGGTAACAAAAGAAGTTTTCCACTGACTAGGCCAGTTTTTGTGTTTCAATATCCAGGCATATAAATCGTAAACGAGGGGTGATATGATATCAGAGCAGTGAGATAACACGAAAGAGGGAATATTATCCGGACCAGTATTACTAGTGTCGGGACAGTAATTCAAAAATGATTCAATATCAGGTAATGATAAGTTAAGATCGTTTAAACAAATCGAAACATTGGAGAACAAGTCTGGCAATGTGAACATTTCTTGGTCATTGAAAACTGATGCGAAGAACTTGTTGAATCCAGTAGCTTTTTCGAGTTCAGTTGTCAAGGAAATATTGCCGTGATACATGATGGATGGAAGGGCAGAATTATAACCGAGAGTTTTGAGGAGCTTAAAACATTCGCTCGTAGAAGAAAGATTGAACTGATTAATAAAGACCTCTTTGTCCAATTCAATTGATTCAGAAAGATATCTAGTGATATCTTTCAATTTAATTGCCTGCAAATAAGAATTTTCTTTTTTTAATTTGCGAAGTGTTGTTTCTTTCTGATTAATTAAATGAACAGTATGCGAAGAATAAAATATCGGCAACACCTTCCTTTTGGAACGTTTTAATTTAATGGCAGACTTGAACGAGCTATTGAGAAGACTATACCACTTATCAGCATAGGACTCTATTGTGCAAGAATTAAGAGATACCAAATTGTACATAGATTGAAGATAAGTATTGAAAGTTTGGATGTTAAAAGAAGATTTGGAATAGGAACTTTGTAGCTCACAAGTCGGATGGACAGAATTAAAATTAAAGAAAATGGGGTAGTGGTCGGAGAAAATTTGATTGCCAACTGATACAGGTAAGTTTATTTCATTAGAAATAACGAGATCTAGGATATTTTTGTTCTTATGTGTCGCTTCAGTAACAAACTGCAGAAAACCATTTTCGATAATGATTTCAAGAAAAGAGCGTTCATTTGTAGAAGAAGAGGAGTAAGTATTCCAATCAATAGAAGGAAAATTAAAGTCCCCGAGAAGGTAAAAATTATAGGTATTTCCGTATCCGTATTGCTGTAAAATTTCTTCAATCTTCAACAAGTAGGACTCAATGCAATTTAGGAGGAGTTGAATATTAACAGAATAAATAGAAGACATGGGGGGGTTATAGATGAGAACAAAGAAGGAGGGTAGTTCGCTTAATACAACACATGAAACGGCAAATTCAAATGACGGAATGGTAGTATTCATAGCTTTGAGAGGGTCGTTGGCCGATTGTGCAATAAGTAGACCACCGTGCTGTCTTCGTTCTCGATCTGTTCTACATATAGTGATATAAGAAGAGCCAAGAAAAATTTCAGAATCATCAATGTCGGGATTAAGCCAAGTTTCTGTAAGAAACACCAAAGAAATCAAATTAGTATTACAGAGACTAATTAATTCGTATCTCTTATCGAGTGGACATATAGATTGACAATTTAACAGTAAGCAATTCGTAGATTTTAGTCAATTTGAGGATATGTCAACTGGCGCGCCTTTATAGTAAAGTTTAAGATTTTTGATTCGAAAATCTTTCTTGTTTTTCGCCTCGGAAGTAATCATTTGATATCGTTTGGCCAGAAGATTTTTCTCAGTTTGACGATCCGAATGTGAAAGGAACTTTTTAATATACACTCGGTTAATGTAATTCTGAAGGTAGTGACTACGAGCAAAGCAGTTATTTAAGAATCGGTCATTAGAAGTTGTAACAAGGAGGGGTCGACATCTTGGTCTATCAGAAGCTAATTCATTTGGAGAAGATTTAGTAATCTTTCCAAGGCGTCGAATCGCAGTGATATTATTCTCTGGATGCAATCCCATATGTTGCATTATTCCATCAATTTCTGTTGAGTCGTTTTCAATTTGCTTAAAATAAGAGCTTTCGTTTTCAGGAATACCAGTAATAACAAACTGCAGTTCAGTATTAGGTAACGATTTCTTACTGCCGGATACTATATCACTATAAGAAGGTAAAGATTTAGTGACCGCTTCTTTGACATTTTCATTCACGCCAGGGATAACTTCACTGATAAGTTTAGGGACAAGATTTGTAACCGTAGTATTTATTTTATCGCTCAAATCATTAAATAAAGCATCCAACTTAGCTTCGGTGCAAATTGTTGACTTATCTCCTCTCTGCAGACAGTTGTCACATAGCCACTGGAGATTTGCTTTTGTCCCTAGCCAACGCACATCATCGATAGAAAGTACAACACAAGGGCCATGAACCCATTTCCCACAAGAAGAGCATCCAATAGCCGAGCTGTCATCATCATTGACGGGCTTCTTGCAGATACATTTAGGACTGGACTCAGAGTTCAATCTGGTGGTCCTGGGTTTAGGGCCCATAATCATTCAATATATGAAACTATTTAATAAGTTTATCACATCAATTAGGCTAATAGAATGAGATGAAAAATAGAACGGAAAATCTTTTCTGCGAGCCGTAATTTTACGACATGAAGAATCAAGTGCTTGAAAAACAGTTTCGTTGAACTTGTCAATGAACTCATTATGACCGTTAGAATGCAAGATAGAGTATAAGGGCGATATAGCCCGACTGAAACTTTCTGAATTAAGACTAATTTTTGAGTAAGTGACAGATCGCTTTGTAGTAAAATGTGAAATTGAACTTGCAGCAAATACATGCGCATAAACAGGAAAATGATCAGAAAAAGCAGTGGCTCCTCGAAAAACTATGAATCGATGAAGATCTGAAACGCAGAGCAAGTCAAGGATATTGCCCGAAACTAAGGTGCTGAAATCAACAATTTGAAGCAAGTCAAGATCTTCTAGTGCTGTCAAAAATTTGTTTGAATAATCAGAAGTAGCAGTGTGTGAGCTCCAGCAGACATCAGGAAGGTTGATGTCACCGAGAACTGCGGTAACAACTCGGTCTTTCATAACTTTGCGACCGAGACATTTTACAACCTCATCACGGTGGTTAAACATAGCCTCAACAAGCACAGAAGAATCAACTCTGAATAATGAAGTTTGAGGTGGATTGTAAATCAATAAGAAACTATAAAATGGAAAATGATCAGAGGAGTCTTCTTTAAATAATAATAAATAATAATTCTTGAATTTTACTTTTGCTTTTCTGTATGTTAGTATGTCTTTAAAGTTGACTTTATCATCGGTTAGTTTGTTCCAGATTAAGACGGACTTTTCAAAGAAGGAATGTTCTATGTATTGCCCATTGTATCTGTCGCCGAAATATAATTTTTTGTTTCTTGTATTAATATCTATTTGGTGGTTATCATACTCAATGTTATTATAGGCTGGCAATAATTGATGTTGTATTTTCCAAAAGAGACTATTTTCCAAAAGGAATGAAAATATATTATTATTTCGAATGTTGCATGTAGATGTCGGTGGACTTTGCCTGATTTTTGAATTTTTCTCATAAAAGCATCCCAGAGTTGAGAACTTGTAATTTAGCACAGATGATAAAGTCAACTTTAAAGATGCAGGAAGTGTATGAACACTTCCTGCATCATGTCATCAACTTTTCACTCTGCAATCAAAGTTTTATTTTTATTAATTTCAGGTCAAAGTTAATGTCAATAAAGGAATCAAAAATTGTGAAAGACAAGAAAGGAACCCGAATTTTCACCGCAAAAGAAGACGAAAGTCCATTTTTGCTCACAGAGCCTAATTGGATTCCAGACGCGAGATGTACGAATTGTCCAGATTGCAAGTTGCGGTTCACTGCCATTCGTAGGAGGCATCACTGTCGAAGATGTGGTCTGTGTTTTTGCGATTCGTGCTGTAAATCGTACCCTCTTAATCGCATGGCTTTTGTCGACTCAGTATTACAGTGCTATAACTGTATTGAAAGCAGCAGAGACGAGTTCGAATTCTTTAAATTTTCTATTCCTTTTTTGCAAAGTGGGGCAGACTTGTTTGTCGATAATTACGATACAATTTTCTTTGCGAAGTTAACACCGAACCATCAGATCATTTTATTGACAGATCCACATAATTCTCTGCACACGGAAAAGATAGCCTTGGACAGAGTCGAGTCAGTGCGCGAAACGTGCGTCGCTGATCAATGTAGTTTGGTCGAGTTACCCGCGGTTGAAATAGAATTTTCTGGTTGTGTTGTACTGGGTACCAGAAAGTTGAATTTAGTGGCTGTTTCGGGTCATCAGAGGTTCATATCTCAATCTTGGCTAAAGAGACTTGTTAAAGCACTGAAAGTCTTGGCTACAGAACGAAACATAATATTTTTATGAAGTAGAATTAGCAATTTTGCAAATCCTTTTGTAGTTTCTTGTCATTACAGTAGAATTTTCCATAGTTTTTTATTAATCTGCAAATTTAAACAAAGAGCCAAAATTAATTTCGTGTGGCAATGCCATAATCTTGCGAATAAAATAAGCTAGGACTATGGGTTCGATTTCTTTCTTCTTCAGAGATTGAAATTGAACCAAATCGACTGAAGAAGCTCTCCAGATGTCGTCGCCAAGTCCAGGAAGTCGGAGGATGCAAGTGGATGTTGTTAAACTGTAAGCAATTGATGTTTTGGCGAATATCCTTTTCGTAAACTGTAGTTTTTGAATAAAGTTCGTACTTCTTGTTGAAATCAATTCATGGTAAAATATTTTGTTCATGTTTTTTCTCTTGAAAAAATAAGTATTTGTCGGACAAATACAAAATGAACTTTTTGTCGTAGTTTTGAATATATCAAATATGCTTCATGTATCCAACTTTCCTTATTCAGTCATTCAGTCCTAGCAGTGCAAGAATGTCTAAGAACTGCCAGTAAAATAAAGTTATTGTATTGTATTATTACGAAAATTCTTTTTCAACCTAAGTGGCAAATAAAAGTGCTCATTTGGTGGCTCTTTTGTTATTTTGTTTTTTTTTAAATTATATTTAAGCCTATTTAAGCATAGACAATTAACAGTATATGTTGTTGTTTTGTTTTTGGCTAGTGCTAGGCCCTGTTTAAAAAACACAGGTGTTATGAAAATGTATGGGATTTGTCATTCAAAAAAGGTGCCAATGGAAAAACCGGCCGCTTTCCTATTTGGCTCAATATTTCGCTAGTCTCTGTTCATTTTACCCCACGTTCTACGGCCTTCAAAGTTTCAGTAGGGGGTTTTCGACCTATTTGTTTTGATTATTTTTCATATTCTCAAATAGTAATGATTCAGTCTGAGAATCCAAAGAAAAAATCATGAGTATCTACCATTCTCAAGCGGCTATTCCCTTAGTTTGATTTAAAAAAGTGACGGCCTCAAATATATCAAATTTTTGACTTTTTACTTTATTTTACACTAGTGGATTTTAGTGAGCGTTTGTGTAATAATACTGGTATTCTTTTTTTCTAACCTAAGTAGCAAATATTGGTGCCACTAATGATGGCTTATTTACGGTTTTTTTATAGCATGTGCTTTGACATTTGAATGGTTTTAACTTAACACAGTTGATGCGTTTTTAATTTATTAAATGAACTGAAAGAAGCTGTTTGTTTTTAACAGCATAACAATCATAAAAACTCCATTTCAGAAATTTTCTAACTCGCTTTATCGCAATTTTTGGAAATTCATAATTTATACATTAAGTGGTTTTATGATTTCCAATATATGACATGCTAATTTAGTATGGATGCCTTCAGTTTGTTGTATTCCAAATGATTACTTACAAAGTTGTGTCTATTTTTTTTGGTGCCCATGAGGTCGCAGTTTCGAAGTCAATTTGTCGCAATGTCGTAATAATTCCAGGCTTTTTTTTTAATTTCAATTTCTAAAGCTGCTTTTTTGTCGCGGTCTCGCTGGTGTTTGCGAAGCGCAGCTTAGTCGCTGTGTAATAAATTTTAAAGACTTTTCTCATAAACTACCTGACAAATCGGAGACTTAAAGTTAAACGGAAAGAAAAAACCAAATATGAGAAGATGATTTCAATCAAAAGAACAAATCATGAGTATCTACATGAGTATCGGTTTTTTTCAAAAAAAAGAAAAAGTTTCCAAAAACGGATTAAATTTCAAAAATTGGACATAATCCTTGGCCATATATATATTTTTCAAATCTTGAGCTGCATTGATCAATTACTATGTTATTGGTTAGTAAAATTACACTAATAAGACGGAAACCTGAAACGGTAAATTTGGAACTTAAAAGAGAAAATGATACCGAAAGACTCAGTTCAAATAAAAGCAATGCGGTTATTAGCTTCCGAAAAAAGCCTGGAATTTGCTCAATGCGCTATTTTAAACTTAGTGCACTTAACCCATGCTTTCGAATGCGCTGAAGAATGGTACGCCCACAGAAGACAACGAAATCCGAGACTGAGAAAATGATAGATGAGGTCGGCTTTGACGTTGAAATGAAACCCAAACAACAACACTAACAACCGTTTACTTCTAGCAACCGTGGCCGTGTGTTTTGAAAAATAATATGGCCATAGAAAATGTCCAGTTTTTGATTTGAAATTTAAACCGTTTTTGGAAACTTTTTCTTCTTGAAAAAGAACCTGCTCATTCTGTGGTGGTTAATTTTTTCCTGCGTAATCTGTTTCACCCTGTTTTTTGTAGAAAAGCCAATATAAACTCCGGAAAATCCTTTTTCACATTTTTTTTAACCTTTTTTGGAATTTTCGTCACTATTCTCGAAAAATACTAGCTAAACCTGATATTAAGGCTTCAATCTAAAATTAGGGTATGGAAATCTTCCCTGCGTAAGAGTCTTTTCATTTGAAAGAGTGAGTAGTATTTTTGTCCTTTAAAATTGCGGCTAATCACGTACATAAGCAGAGAACTAGGGTTTTTTGTAAAGACCTTTTTTGCATGTTTGAAATTTAAGCATTTCCGTGTCAGTACAAGCTATGATTTACAGACGAGATGACGCTCAAATCAATTTCAACAAATGACAATTAATGAGTACTGAAAAAAGTATGTTTCCAGTAAAGAAAAAACCAATGCATCACATACTTGTTGTTCTCGAGAAATGTTCGAGGATTGGCACCTATCCCATTGTTATTTATAATAGTAATTGAAGAGGCTACGAAAAATTGTCATTCCACGGTACCATGGGATATGCTATGCGCCAATGACCTAGTGATATCATTTGTAACGTAATCCATGTCATGAGAAATTTCATACTAGGAACAAGGCTTTACAAAAACGCTGTTTAAAAGTTAAATTTGATAAAACAAAGAAAAGCATTTGATTACAGGCCAAAAGGTTTAACTCAAAATCAGATTTATATCAATAAGCCTGTTGTTTAAAGGAAATCGGCGCCAATTCATTACGCTGCTTTTCTTGTAATCAATGGTTATTAGGCTTGCGATTAGCCAGCTTTATCGAACTGGAATACAGACTTTTTCGGGCTAACAACTTGCTTAACAGAATCACTTGTATTTCGTTTCATAATAAATTCAAACTTCTGTTCTCAGCCAATTTAGTCTAGAGGCAACGACTATGTCTTGGACGGCAAAGGTCCTTGGTTCGAATCTGCTTTTTTTCAATTGGGAAATAATCAGTTTGAAATAAAATTGTCGGCCTATGATTCAACTTATCTGTTCTCGGCTTAGTTGTCCTATCTGAGAATCGTTTTTTTTGCTGCGTAATTTGTTCTTTAATGTTGCTTTTAGTGTTTAATTTACTCCTACAATTCGCAATTTAACTTACCTTGACTTCCTATTTTCTTCTTGGTTTTTTCACTAAAGAAAATTCATCGGCGCAAATTATATCGGCCTTCTGCTGACCGGTTTAATGACCTTATTTTGGGTCGTTTCAAGAAAAACACAATTTTAACATTTCGCTCTGCGTTTTTCAAGTTAGTTGTATTTTTACCAATCGGTTTGTTGACGTAAATTTTTTCGTTATGGAAAATATTTCCAAATTAATTGGAAAACTTAAAGTTTTTCTCAAACTTCTACTTCTTTATTTTTCGTTATGGAAAATAATTGCAAAATAATTGGAAAACTTTAATTTTTTTCAAACTGCAAAAAGGGTTATCAATTGAAAGACCGTTTACTCCCTTGTGTACCTAAAAACTACCCCAGAGTCTCTTTTTACTTGACCCCTCGGTCTATTGCCTTCGTGGGCGGGTGTTTGACCCATATTTTCTCAAAAACTACACCTAACAATTCTGGGTTTTTGGCTTCAATAAAAAGAGCGGTTTTGAAAAGCTTCCTGGCTCCGTGCGTAAGCGAAAACTAACCTCTCAAGTCTGATATTGTGAGTTCAATGGAGATAACGGGAAGTGGGAAGCTCCCCTGCATTAGCGGCCTTTCAAAAAGTTTTTCACACTTTAGTGTTATTTATAGAAAAATTTAGTGATCGGAAAATTTTTGATTTTTTGACCGTTTTAAATTTATTGAGTATTTTCGAAAGCTAACCTGCGTTTTTGTTTTTTCTTGAGATCTAGCGTCGAAAATCTGATATTTTTGGTTCAATCTAAATTATAGGTTGCGTTAATTTTTTCTGCATTAAGGGATACGCCCTGTTTTTCGCACAAAAAGCTATGATTGTCCGAAATGTTAAAATGTTTGATTTATTGACAGTTTGCGAGACCTCTCTAGCTAACTATCCTGCCAAATCTGATATCATGGGTTTAATCGAAATAACAAGTTTTTGAAAGCCTACCTTTATAATTTGCTATGCCCAATTTGTTTAAGAGAAAGCTATGGCCTTCAATTAAGTCAGTTTTTTGACAGTTTTTTTTAAAACTTTTTGACTTTATGCGAAAACTACCGTGTCCATTCTCAGGTTGTGTTCAATCGAGAAAGCCGGTTTTTTTTTGAATCTTCTCTGCTCAAGTGGCCCCAACCTGCTTTTTGCAACAAAAAAAATGGGTTTTGGAAAGTATTTTGACCGTTTTTTAGAACTGTTGACGGTTTTTTTGGAAACTTCGAACTTAAACAATCAAAGCTGAGATGAAAAGTTTATTTGAAAGAACCGATTGCGATAACTGTTCCTGCAGAAGCGACGACTCTTTTGTTGTTTGTAAGAGAAATGTTATCTTTTTAGGAAAATTGATTATCTCAAAATTTTTCCGTCTCACTTATTTTAGTAGAGACAACTATGGTTTTGGGCAGTCCAATTTTTAAAATCACTTTTTTCGTGCCGCTTCAGTATAGAAAATTCATTCAATAACCAGTACGTACCTTCAGCTTTAGCTGGCCCCCGTTTTTCTGAAATCGAGATATAAGAAAATTTTGGTTCAACAAGTTTCTTTCAGCATTTGAATTATTTTTCGACTTATGCATTTTTTTCATGTTAGGGTTCCGCAAGTTGTGCAAAGCTCCGCTTCGCCTCTGTGCTTAAAATATAATCAATTGAATGAATAATCGAAGAAACTTGTCTTAAGCAATCTACAGTCCGGCTTTTTAATGAGACATCTGCTTTTTGAATTAAGTTTGAGTTTCTAATGTGTTTTGTGTCTTTTTTGTTTGTGATATTACTCCAATATTTTTTTCACAAAATAATCTCAATGTGTTTGGATTACAGGGAAGCAGTCTGAAAATCAGTTGGCCGTCCGCGTGCTTAGGAATCTTT